GAGGAGGGGATGGGCGGGGGAGGCGAGGGCAGGCCCCTCGACCCCCCCTTGCCTTCCCTCTTTACGTCCTCATCCTCCTCGCCATCGCCTCTGTTCATGTCTTTCAGGCTTCGCTCCCCTGCCCCCTACCCCCATGCTCCCTGGCACCCCTCTCTTAGCTCTCACCCCTGCCGCCGCGCCGCCGCCTCCCGCGCCCCCGAGGCTGGCGGCGGCGAGGAGGCCCTCCAGGAGGGCGCCTTCGGGGCGGACATTTCGGAGTTCGGGGGCGGCCCCGACGGCTCCGACGACCCCGGCGGCCCCGGCGGCCCTGGACCTGCGGCGCCAGAGGCGCCACCTGTGCCTCCCGAGCCGCCCCCCCCCCCCCCTCCCACCCCCCCCCCGCCTCTTCCCCCATCCAGACTTGGGCCCGGGAGATCGCCAGATCACATTTTTTGCGGGCCCTCCAGTAAACGGCAACTTGCATAACATCACGCGGTATAAATCTTTTGATTTCGAAGCCACGTGTAGGTTTCGCCCTATGTGTCGCAGGACACGCAAAAGCACCGTAATCGATGCGCGTCATCTTCTTAGGAAGCCTTGGCAGGGTCGACCCTGCGGACACCTGTTAGCTTGGATTCAAGCTGGTCAGGATCTCGAACCTAGCCAGCATGAAGATCCGTATGCCTTCGGCGTTATCGGAGCCCTCCCCCGCGGCGTAGCTCCCCGCCTGGCCATCATCCCCCCCCTCAGTCCCTGACTGGTCGCGAAACAGTCGCCGTTTCCTGGCTTCCAGGGGGGGCGTTCGGGCACGCAAAGGCGGGGTGGGTGGGGGGTGGGGTGGGGGCGGGGGGGGCACGAGCGCGCGTAGGCACGCGTGAGGCGGGCGACGCGACGACGACGACGACGACGACTACCACGACGACCACGACGAAGACGACGACGACGACGGCGACGGCGACGTCGAAGACGACGAGGACGACAATGACGACGGCGACGTCAACGAAGACGACGACAGGAGTACACCGATGAGGGACGACGACGACGACGTCAACGAAGGCGACGTCAACGAAGACGACGTCAACGAAGACGACGTCAACGACGACGACGACGTCAACGAAGACAACGTCAACGAAGACCACGACAACGGCGGGCCTCCCTCGCAGCTTGGCATCGCCCCAAGGGTTGGCGGACTACGTCCCTCCTTTTGGCGATCGCAGAAAGGCTCGGGACGAGTTGAAGCTCGGATGGGATGCGGCGCTGGAGCTGCTCGCGAAGGAGAGGCCCCAGCGGGCGGACTGTGCGCCCCTCGAGCCAGACTCGGAGCCTGAGCGTGCCTAAAGGCGTCTCGCCTTCGGCACCGGCATCGGTTTCGTGGCCCTGGCCGTCGTGGCAATCCCTTGTCATTGACACGTGTGCTGTCTTGCTACGCGTCCCGCTCCTCTCTACTTCCAGTGCCAGTGCCATCCTCTCGGCCGCCCCCCCCCCCCCCCCTCTCGCACCCTGTCCCCGCGCTCCTCCGCCCGCCAACCCAAAAGGAACTAGGGCCGCAATGAAATAAACAGGACCCCATCCCCCAACATACGTTCGTAGGACCGCCCCAAAACGTAAATTGGATCCGGTTCAAACGGTCCGTTTCAAACGGTCCGCGGTCCGTCTCAAACGGCCCATGGTCCGTTTCAGCACCAGGGTCCATTTCAAACGGTCCATGGTCTGGTCTAGCACAATTAAGACCCCCAGAAAAGTAAAGAGGAACACGCCAAAGAGGAAATAGTGCCATCCCAAGGGGTGGACGGGGGGGGAGTTTCCCGACAGGAAAGGCTTCTCCATATGTGTCGTCCTAGGTTGACGCGTGCGCCGAGGGCAGCTGGGCCTTTCCCAATGCACGCCGCGCTTCGCGAGACAGCCGCCTGCCCCAATCAATTACATACCCGTGAGCTTGCCCATATCAATTACATGCGCATGACTGTACGAACTGGCGCGAATCAATTAATCCAACTGTATGGGTTGCAATCCTTCGCGGCGTGTGGACGGGAAGTCTAGATTTATATGCAATTTGTTTGCCACGAGTCGAGACGCGGCCCCAAGTGCCCGATGCCGCGACTTACGCTGAACAAGCAACGCAGGCGAATTGAAACCATGAGTCGTTTGTGATGCGAATGCCACTCCGCCTGTAGGTACACATGCAAAAGTCCAGCGCCATTTGTTTTGAGAAAAGTCGCTAGTTTTCCAGAGAAAAGTATACGTTTTCGCTTTTAGCCGCGTGTATTCCTATGGCTTCAACTTGATATAGGACGAGTTAGGGGCATCAGTAAGCTGCCCCCCCTCCCCTTGGGCTCCAGGAGTGTTCGTGTTCGTACACGTCCCTTCGACACATGCACAGTTGTGCGGCTTAGGCGTAGGGGGCGTGCTGTTAGGGCTGAGGGCGTAGGGCTGAGGGCGTAGGCCGGAGGGCGTAGGGCTTTCGGCGTAGGCTTTAGCGCGTAGGCTGTTAGGGCTAAGGGCTTTGGGCATAGGGCTCAGGGCGCAGGGCTTAGGCGTAGGCCCCAGGGCGTAGGGCTTAGGGCGCGCGGGCTCAGGGCGTAGGCCAGAGGGCGCAGGGCTGAGGCGTAGACCTGAGGGCGCAGGCCTTGGGGCGCACGGCTGAGAGCGTAGGGCTTAGAACCAGGTAGGGTTTAGGCCGCAGGCCTCCCAAGGAGGGCGGTGGCGGGGGGGGAGGGGGGAGGGGGGGGGGGGGGGGGCGGGGAGGGGGGGAGGAAGGGGAGGAGAGGGGGGAGAGGGGGGAGGGGGAGGGGGGGGAGGGGGGGGGGGGGGAGAGGGGGAGGGGGGGGGGGGGGAGGGTAGGGGGCCCGATGGGCACGCGCACCATCGGGGCCGCGTCGGTGCACAGGCAGGTTGGGTACATGCACCAACCCGCCTTTTCCAATTTATGCCAAATACAATTCTTGTATATTTTTGATGATCTGGGATGATTGTTTGATGATTTTTTTTATGTACCCTACCTGCCTTTCGTTCTGAAACGCGAGCAGGGTACAGTGCCCAACCTGACTTTGGCAGTGCCCAGGCCCTTTGGGTGCCGTGACGATGTTGTCTTGCTCCAGCAGTGAGGACCTTCGGACTCGCGACCATCGCGCCCCGACCTTGTTCTGCGCGCCAGCGGGTTAGCCCCGACCATTTTTTGATGATGTGTGGATGATTTTTGGATGATCTTCTGATGATCCGTAGCGGCAGCCCTGGCCACCCAGATGATGTTCTGGTGATTTGTTGATGCTAGTTTTATGATTTTTTGGATGGTATTTTGATGATAGTTTGCTGATCTGTTGATGGATGGCCCTGAGGTACAACATCCACCCCAAAAACGCCCTCGCGCGCGTGCCCTAAGTACCCCCCCCCCTCCCCGCCTCCTCCCCTTGGCACTTCTGCATTGGGCTTATTTTTTTGCGACAATAACTTGTGCGCGCGCCCCGTTAGGCCTGCGCGGCTTCCTGGGGCGCGCTTCAACCGTCGTTGCAAACAAATAATTTGCGAAATGCGTTTCTGTTGGAAGCGACCGCGCCTGCGCAGTTGGCGGCGGGGCGCAGCGCCATCCGCCCTCAGGCGGAATTAAATATGCGAGGCGCCTTCGCATCGCGGGATTTCGCTTCCAAAACAAAGCCTGCGCTCAAAAATGCTGGCCTGCCTGGGCGCCCGCGCCGTCCGCGCGAGGCGACGCCGCGGTATCGAGGGCGTGTCAGGGTAGTGCGGGCGCGACGATGGGTCTCTAGATGAAGCCCTGCGCCGCGACCGCGCGCGGATTGCGACGTCGTCCAACAAGGTGGCGGCGTGGCCGCAACAAAGACGCGTCACGTGCCTGGCCTCCCTCTTGGGAGGGGTGGATTTCGATATCTCAACCTCGCCCCGCGGGGCTCACGCAGGGCCCCCCGCGCATCCTTGCCACGTACATTTTTCTGAACATGGGAACAGCACGGGGCAAGTGCGTCTTTCCCGTGGGAAGGCGCACCGCGCGCCTGAGGGTCTCGCGTCTGGCAGAGGGTGGGTCTGGCATCTGGCAGACGGTTTCGCATCTGGCATAGGGCGCTGTTATCATTGAAGTTGAAGGTGATGCCAAGCTTCGCGTCGGTTGCCAGAGGGCCCCAATCTTTGTTGTGCGCGATAGACTTACGCACTTACGCCCTCGGCGGCCACAAGTTCTGATCAATTGCCAGCGCCTGCATTCCCCAGGCGCGCTTGTCACGCTGCCCTTCCCCTCAGACTCACGTTCCTGTGGCTGTCGGTTTCGAGGTCTATTCACCTTCCTGTGGCTGTCGGTTCCTCAGGCTGCCAACAGACGCAGGTCTCGCGCGCGGCCCCCTTGGGCGCTGCGCGGCGCGATGGCGGGAGGGGCCCCTGGCAGGCCTTCTTCGGCGAAGGCGCGGGAGCCCCAGCAGGGCGGCCGCGGTCGTGGACGTGGCGGAGGCCGTGGCCGCCCCCGCGCCGCAGCGGCCGCCGCTGGCGGGCTCGTCGAGTGCGGGCTTTGCGGCTCCAGCGAGCGGGACACGGGGCAACGTTCGTGCATCCATGTAGATTCGCACAGCACATGCCGTATGGTAAACGTATTGTGTTTGGTACCATGTTTTCACTACCGGTTAAAACATACGTACGTTGTTCTTGCCTTGATGGGTTCTGGAGTCCGAACCACCACCAAACAAACGATGTACGTTGCCGGAACAGTCGTTGCTTCCCGTCTTGGACCCCTTCACCCTACCCCTACGCCCTACACCCTACCCCATGCGCCCCCCCTACACCCGTGCGAATGTTTGTATTTCGCGCTTGGCCCTCCCAGAGGGACCCTGTGTTAACGTGTTGAGGTTTGCGATGTTGCTTACATGCAGGCGGCCTCAGGGCTGCCTCAGGGGCGCGTGGGCCCCGCGGGAGAAGCGCAGATGTCTTGATCAGTTCGCGCCTGGGCCCACGAAATGCCTTGGGGGAGGGGGGGTTCGACGAGGGAAGGGGCCCCGCGATTCCCTTTCGAGCCTCGGGCCCAGGAGATTTACAGATTTCCAGGACCTGCACAGATTACTGCCACGCCCTCTACAGGACTGCCACATTTACGGCAAGGCCGCGCAGGACACGAGCTTGCAGAAGTACCTCGGCGAGAACGTGACATCGTGCGCGAGGTGCTTGGAGTTCGTGAAGCACCACTGCCCAGGCCTGACCGTCGCTACGCTGGCGCAGGTTGCGACCGACAACGAGGACCTTGGCTTGTGCGCGCAGGGGTGCCTCTTCGACAAGATGGACGTCGCGTTGCAGATGCCGCACCTGAAGGCGCCCCTCCAGACAGGATTCGGCCACGAGCTGTACGTCAAAGCTACTGCGCTGAACGCGCACCAGGTGCAGACCGAGTTCTCCAAGAGTCCGAAAGCTCTCGGCGTGAAGCCGTACCTCGTGCCCGCTCGTGGCCAGATGGCCATCGTGTATCCAGTAGAGCGCACGGCTGAGTTCAAGGTAAAGTACCCTACGTTGAAGATATTCGCGTGCTTTCGCACGCAGACGGAAGAGGAACAAAAAGCCCCTGTGGTGCCAGGCAGCGGTTCAGGGGCCAGATCCCCCTCATCCACATGGGCATCGCGAGTGAGGAGGCTGCCCAAGATGACACCGCCGACGTCCTCACTGCCATCACGGTGCACATCCCGACGGTCGACGACCTCCACGCGCGCGTCGAGAGGCTGAAGGCGAAGGCGAGCGCGCGGATGAAACCCACGCCACGCGAGGGGTCCACCAGTGAAGACTTGATAGAACTTGCCTTGGGAGGCTCCGACTGCTCCGACCCCAACGGCACGGTCTACGTCTGCGGCGGCGGCGAAGACGAGGACCCCGAGCGGACCCCAGGCGCAGTGGGCAGCTGCGGCGTCTCGTGCGCCGCGAGCGTGGCTGGCTCGGAGGCGTCGGCATCAGTCCACGCGCCCATGCCCTCGCAGCTGAAGAGGGGCATAAGTTCTACCAGCCTCGGATGCGCCTTTGGGCCAGAGACCCGGAACAATAAATTTAAGGGCTTGATGGGCGCACCCCTGAAGATCGAGAATGAGCACAGGGTTGGGGCGCCTCAGTACTGGATCACCGAGCTCAACCTTCACATGCTCTTCGACGGCGCCAAGCTGGGGAAGCAGGAGGCGCAAGCCAAGCTTCTGTTGCCGAAGCTCCCCCCTTCTGAGCGGAACGGCCTGCGCGTCCACATGGATCTCGTGGAGCACGCGAAGAAGATGAACAACGTGCATACCTTGAGTGACCAGGAGCTCCGAGATGCTTGGCAGCCATTTGCTAAGTTGGGAATGCTTCCCACGCCGGAGCTCGCACTCAGTCTGGTACAGCGCCGCGTGGACTACTTATGGAAGGAGCTCCATGTTGCGAGTAGAGTTGAGAAGGTCGAGGGCTTGTGCAAGCAGTTGCTGGAGTGTCTGGGGATCTGGTCAGACCAGTCGGGTGCCCGCTTCGACGTATTCGACCCCAAGCTGATAATCACAGGCGGCACGGACGCCGAGATAGCGGACTTCTTTGTGAAACGCGTCTTCGCGACAGGCATCGGGCATTGGATCAGCCAGGGAGCGGCGATGGAGACGCACGTGCAGGAGTTCGCCCTCGTTGCTGGCACGGTGTGGTCCGACCTTCCCGAGGACGCAGACTTGGGTCACGATTGCGCCTTGGTCTTGCTGGACGCGCGTGCGGCGATGAGGATCACCAGGAGCTTCTTAGTCGCAGTCATTGACGACAACACTGACATCGAGATCTTTCAGGAGTACCCTCGCTTTGAGCAGGAGGCGTTGCGCACCGCGGGCTACGCCGCGCCGGCGCAGGCTCTCGGTCAAGCTTTGAATGCTACCTCTGGCTTGTATTGGAGGCAGCAGTTCGAACGGCTGAAGGCTGATTCCGACAAGATCCGAGAGTTGGGGTCCAGCATCGCCGACGCGATCAGCAAGGTCACGAAGCAGCCCGCCCAGGTTTCCCAGGCCACCATCAAGGAGCTCAGAGGCGTGTGCGAGAATTTCCCTTACTGGGAGCAGCAGGTGAACGACCAGATCTGCATCAAGCTGCGCGCTGGCCCCATCAAGAAGGTTTCGTGGGTGGCCGAAGAGCTGCTGAACAAGAAGAGGAAGCTCGAGCAGAAGGGCTCCTGCACGGAGGAAGACGAGAGGACCGTTCTGATGCATGGCATGAAGGAGCTCCTCAGGCACGTGGCCACAATCGACCCGCTCAGCGAGGAGATCGCTCGGTGGGCCTCCAGGCTCACCGACGCCTTGCAGGACATGGACAGACAAGGGCGTGAAGATGGGGATGGTATCCGAGGCCATCTTGGCTTGGACGCCCACGATGGCAGAGCATGCCCATCGGCTGCGCGGCGCCATCGGGGCTTGCAAGCCAAACACCGTGTCGGGGAAGGTCGAGAACAATGCTTACAAGTTGTTGCAGAGCATTGCGAACGATTTGGGGCAGAAGGCTAGCTTCGGCAATGGCACCGACGCTCGCATCTACGACGCGGTCGAGATGCTCGCAGAGATTTCCCCGATGGACTTCAAGCGCGACACCGAGGCGTTCAGCGCCTAGCTGAAGTCGGCCTGTAGGCTCGAGTGCGTAACGGAATCCGTGAGGGCGAAAGTGCCAGACAGCCAGGGCAACCACAACGACTTGGACAAGCTGGCGAGGGAGTTGAGCCAGGCCCTTCAGCGCGTGCCGGAGAAGAACATGCCCAGCGGCCTGGTGGCGAAGTTCTCCACGACCCTCAACGAACGCGAGGAGAGCACGCGTAAGACGGCGAAGGAGTTGGTCATGGAGATCGGCGAGCAGGTGAGGGGCCATTTCTACGACGGGGTGCAGACGAAAAGCCAGAAGCTCCACGCCGAGATCGACCAGGACGCCTGGGCAAAGGCCTGGGTTACCGGCACGGCTGGCGTTGAGGAGCTGGCGCTTCTGCTCGAAGTGGGGGCCCACGAACGCAACTCTTCGCAGGCCGAGCACTGGGGTGACATGGCGGACAGCCTCCAGTCGGAGTTCGCGACGCTCTTGCAGACGACGGTGGACTTCGAGCTTGCACCGAAGGCTGATATCGAGACGACGCTCCCTGAGTTGATCCGCACTGCCCGCGTGCTGCACCTCGAGCACAGCCTCATCGGCCACTTCACCAACGAGGCGACGAAGCGTGACAAGATCTTGCTGCGGGCCAAGATGAGGGACATCCAGGGCTGCCTCAAGGAGTGGTCGTTGACGCCAGAGGACTTCCCCACGGCGCTGATCGCGCGCTACCGCGCGGGCCTGCGCATGACGTAAGCTAACGGAGTCAGCCGCCTCCGCCTGCACCCAGCGCCGAGCCGAAGTGGAGGGGTGGTTCAAGGGCCTCTGGAGTGGCTTCTAAAGCAACCCCAGAGCCCCTGGAGTTTTTTTATCCACTCCAGGGCCTCTGGATTCTTAACTTGTTTTCGGGATCTTGGAGATTCAGTTTCCATTTGCGTTCCAGGGCCTCGGGAGAAACAAGGAAAGAACATGATATAACATGTGTTACTCCTCTGCTGTAGTTCGCGCTTTTGTTGAGTGAGGCCGCACTTCGTGCGGCAGCCGGATGCTCGTGTGGGATGGGTCAGGGGGCTCAAGTATGTCTCCCATTCTCCCCTCCTTACCGTCGTTCCTCGCATGATCTCCCCATTTCCCCCGCAACTCTGCCCAGCCTTCGTGTTCGATTTTGGCCGCCCCCGACCCAGTCCCCATCCTAGTGCCGCTTGGAGAGTTCGAGAAGTGCTTCGGATGAAGGCTGGAGCACTCGAAGTTCGCAGCTCTCTTCGACGCTCGTGGCGCCAGCACTCCACGCTCTGCTCTGGGCGAAGACGATGCCTATCCCCCCGCTCTCCCCCCCCCTCCGCCCCCCCTCCCCCCCCCCCCCCCCCCCGCCCTCCGCAAAGTGGGCCCAAGACGGCTCCAAGATGGCACCAAGAGGCCCGCGGAAGTCTCGAGGCGGCCCCAATCTTCCTCCCCCCCCTCCTCCTCCTCCTACTCCCACTCCTCCTACTCCCCTCTCCCGCCTCCCCCCCCGCCTCTGCCCCCCCCCCACTTCCCTCCTCTTCTTCCTCCTAGATGGCGCCGAGAAGGTTTCGCGAGGTCATCGCCAGGGCTCGATTTGAACAGCACTCAAAATGATCTTCTCCTATGCTTCAAGATGGCCCCAAGACGGCTCCGAGTTAGCGCCGAGAGAGCCCGAGATGGGCCCGAAACGGCTGGCCTCAAGGAATTATACAGTTTGTTGGGGGCCGAGGCGGCGAGCGCACCAATCGTTGAGCCATGCGCCGTGCGTTGGCAGGCAGCCCGAACATCTTCAAGGGAAGCGCTTCCGAAGAGAGGGGCGAGGATGCTAGGCTCCAAGCCTTCATCGGAGCGATAGCCATTGGCGATCTGGTGAAGTCCACGTTGGGCCCAAGGGGCGTGGACAAGATTGTGGTGCCAATGCTCGGGGGGGGGGGGTCCCAAGGAAATGCGACTGTGACGAATGACGGCGCAACCATCTTGAAATCTTGGTGGATCGATATCCCTGCAGCGAAGATTTTGGTGGACATATCTAAGACCCAGGGCGCAGAGTGCGGGGGGAGGGATGTGTAGGAGGAGGACGCGCGGGGAAGAGCCTCCTCCTCCTCTTCCTACTCCCCCCCCTCCTCCTCCCTCCCCCGCCTCACCCCCGCCCGCCCCCGCCCCCCTCCTCCCTCTTCCTTCCTCCCCTTCCTCCTCCTCTTCCTCCCTCCTCCTCCTCCTCCTCCTCCTCCTCCCCCTCCCCCCTCTCTTCCTCGCCCCTCCGCGCTTGCTTGCTTGCTCTCTCCGCCGCCCCCGCCGCCCCCGCCGCCGCCCTCGACGAAGCAGGCGCGCCCCGCCCGCGCCGCCTCCCGCAAGAGGGGGGGGGGGGGGGGGGCGGGGAGGGAGCGGGGGCGGGCAGAGAGGAAAGGCAAGGGGGAGGGCGAGAGAGGGGAGGGAGAGGGCGAGGGCGAGGGGGCGGAGCACGAGGACGAGGGGGCGGAGAAGGACGGGAGGAAGGAGGAGGAAGGAGGACGGAGGAACGAGGGGATGATTTGTGTAGCGGAAGCAATTTTGGCGACACGTTGGGCCCTGGAAGGGCCGTGTTGCAAGATGCGCATAAGCGCGAATCGCGTTTTCCACGTTGTGAGTGCCCGTCATAGGCGCGCGGTGCGAGCTTGTCAGACCCCTCCCAACAAAAACACATCAGCCGTTCGTGTTCCCCCCTTCTCCACTACCCCTCCCCTCCCCCGCCCCTGTTGCAATGTCGCTCAGTTGGCGGGCGCGCCGATGTTGCGGCCGCCCCAAGAGACAACCCCCAGGGTCTCGGACTGCCCACCACTTACGCGTCGTCATTGCGTGGTAGCGTCGCGTTACATGGAACGTTATGCCATAGGTGGCTGCGAGCGCCGCCCCAATAGCACAAAACGCAGACGCATGTCGAGGCGTGCATGGTCGCGAAACAGAACGCGGTGGAACCGCCAGACCTTGCGGCGCTCGGAAGGGCGCAACTCACCGCATTTGCTGGGAACGCCACGTCAGTGGCCACACATCTGCGGCGGCTCCCGTCTCGCTCACATCCTAAAGCTTGGCCGTGCAATCGTAGAAACATGTTAGCCCTGCCGCGATATGGCTTGACGCAGGCCGATAATCGATCCCTCGTTGCGATGATGCGAGTAAGCCCAACACGCAACAATGGTTTGCGGCTGGGTGATCAGGGCCATTCGAGAAAATGCGATTTGCATTTGTTGCTGAAGTTTCGACGATTAAGCAGAACACATGAACAAATGGCCGCGGAGGATTTTCTGACGATCCTCGGCGGTCTGCGCCCCGTGGAGACCAAGCGGGCCATCGAGAATATAAGCCTGCCACCTTGCCCGGCGCGCCGCGGACATACTTAGGCGGCAAGACGGACTCCGTCAGGATGACCTCCATGCCGAGGAAGAGCGGCAACAGCCCCGGCATTTTTCCAGTAGCGCCGATGTTGGGCCCCGCGCGCATCTCGTCGAAGTCAGGCTTCGCGAGGCGCGCAGCTGGTCTGTCGAGCGCCGTTTCGTAGAAGAGCAGCTGGCCAGCATCGCGCGCGTCAAGCTTGGCCTGCGCATGCATGGTGTAAGAGACGACGCGCCACTCATATTCCGACTCGTACCAGCCTCGGGCTGCACGCAACCAGTGGCCCCACTGGGGTTGCTGAGCGGCTTCGCCGGTGCTGGCAGCCGGCTGACCAGCACCGCTGGAGCTAACGATCTCTGTTTTGGGGGTCGCTTGCCAGCTCTCGTCAGAGATCTTTTTGCCGCCTGGAGTCCTCATGGCGTGAAGGACCTCGACCTGCAGCGGGTCTGTGAAGCGCTGCATCTGCGCGAAGTCGACGACGAACTCGAAGTCGGCGAGCAACTTCCGAGCCTGTTGGTGCTCGTAGGACTGGCCCGTGTGAGGCGCCAGCAGGGAGGCGCTGGCGGGGATCGGCGGTAACTGGTAGAAGTCCCCGCAGAGGATCTTCGCCGCCATGCGCCCCCACGTCTCCTGCGGGAGCATGTACTTGGTAGAATCGTGGTTGTACCGCAGCGCCCTGCCGTAGGTCGCGCGCAGTGCATCCGCATGCAGCAAGGGCCCCGGCACAGCACCCAGCTCATCGATCACGTCGACGCCGAGTGTGCCTGTGAGGCGGTCGAGCTTTTTCTGCGTCTGCGAGGTCAAGCGCGGCCTGGCGGTCTGCAGGGAGTCCGACATGAGGATGCCGTTGGAGGAGCGCAGCGTCCTCCCGCGCGGGCCGAGGTTGCGGGCCGCTTGGTTGGACTGTGCTTTGGCAAGGTAGCCGTGCACACCGAAGTAGGTGATGGCCATAGGCTCCACCACTCTGGAGAGGGCGCGTGTCTTGCCGACGCCGCCTCCTCCGAGCCAGATTGCTCTGTGGTTGCCCGTCGCGGACACCGCGGGGAGCAGATGCGCTGTCTCGTCTGGCCTGCCGTCAAAACGTTTCTGCAGGGACAGCGCGAACAACGCCGCCGCGTCAATCTGCGCCTCCGTGCACTCTGCATCAGTGACCAGCTTCCACGCAACAGCCGCGGGGCCCTGCATGGCCAAGAGCTGCGGCACGAGCTCCGGCTGCGCGTCCTCAGCAGCAGGCTGAGGGGCACCACTGGGTTGCCAGTCGCCCCCAACATCGGGCAAGGTCTCTCCATCCGGACTCGCTTGCTTCTTCTGGAGCGCAATGCTCTGCCGCTGTAGGGCCAGCATGTCAAAGAAGCTGTCGTCCAGCCGCGTGCCCAGATGCTCCCGCGCGCCGCTGCTGGCTGGCTGCGCAAAGCTCGCCTGCAGCATGCCGCCGTGCGCTCGGTCCAGGTTCTTCAGCTGCTTATCCGCGTAGCTGAGGCGGCTCTTCTGGCTCAAGCGCTGCAGTTGGTGTTGCTGCAGAGCCAGCTCGGTTGCTCTGGTGTGGTCCCGCAGCGGAAACATGGAGATCTCGGTAATTTCGGCGTCCTCAACTTCCTCCTCTACGTCGCTGCCACCGCCTCCGCCCGCGTCAACGAGCTCCAGCGGGGCCCGGCCCTTGGGTTCTTCGGCGTCGCTCGCGGAGTCCTCCTCCGCCTCCAGGTGCGCAGCCGCTGCCGGCCGCGGCTTAACCCGCGCCTCCGCCGCGGGGTCCACGTGCGCCAGCACGTCTCGCGCCACGTGCGCGCAGAACTCCGCCAAGGTGCACTGCCCCTCGTGCCGTCGGCAGCGGTGGTGACTGAAGGCGAGGACGCGCCGGGCCGCCTCCACAGGCGTGCGCCGCGCCAGCTGGGCTCTTGCGAAGTTCGCTAGGCTGAGGAGCACCAGCTCGCCCTCCTCGAGGTTCGCCCGGGGTTCTTTCAGCTCGGAGAAGAGGGTCGCGTCCGCGAGCGCGAGCCTCTTGCGGGCCAGGCGGCGCCTGGAGTCCGCGCGCGCCGCCAGCGCGTGGATCTCCGCGCGCCGAAGTCGCCGCGCCCGCTCGAACGAGTGTGGGCGCACGGCAGGGCAGTCGCAATTCTTCAACATATGGCTGTATTGGGTAACGCTGCCACAAGTGAGGGGACCCTCGCACGCCAAAGGCGTGAAGAGGAGGGCCTTGAAGAGCGAGTTCTGCTCTGGGTCCTGTGCCCAGGTCGGGCACTGGAAACCGTCGATGGCGGGGGCGTCCATCCGCGTCAATTGGACCTCCTGCACGTACCGCGGAGCCATGACGCAATGGTTCTCGAAGACGAAGAATCTCGGCCCAGAAGCTTTCACCCGGCTCGGCTTCAGGACTCGGCGGACGT